CAGTTGGCGATAGAAGTCGTCTTTTACCGAGTCATCGCTACAGTTTGTCGGTGCATAGGCAGCGATAACGAATAGACACCTGTTAGTCCCATGCGACTTCGAAGTTTTGTACGAGCCAGCCAATCGGACCGCACACATCCGGCTACTGATTAGGATTCAATGAACCACAGCAGTTTCAGCCCGGGGACGCAGGGCAATACCAACACCGGCTTTGTCGGCACACAAAACTGCATTGTCTCCGGATAGCGGCAATGAGAAAAGACTGTTAGTGTCACTTGAATTGGATAGCAAAACGAGCAGATAGCTCGAGACTCAAGTCAAATCAAGTCAAAATAAGCTTTGTGAACCCTAATGGGGTCATTTGCAGCATGTACACAGCCACCGCGAACACCTGGATGATAATATCAATATACATGACTAGGAAGAAAATGGGGAAATGCACAACCGTTACTCAAACAACCGTTCGCGCAGCAGGTTAGTAACTTTCACTGGGTCAACAAGCAAACGTAAGAGATAAGGCAAAACAGTATTACAATACGATGATGTGCAGGAGAATAAAATTCTGAATTTCGGACAAGTAGAAGAGAAAGAAAGCGTTTTGGTAAAAGCGTAGTGAAGTAGATGAAATCGATCATTTAGGAACTTAGAAGAAAATCATAGCAGACATCAAGATGTCTAGAAATGACCAACAACTAAAGGAACTCTAGCCAAGCCGATGCACCTAGAAATGTGATTTATAGATCGCATCAATAAGATGTAGTCTTTCTGAAGCAGTCCAGGGAAAATGAAAAGAGAGCAGTATAACCAACGGGGAATAATGCAAGAGGTTACTAACCTGAATATTAAAGTACGGTGTACTGAAAACATCTTAAGTCTGGCGGCATAAAAAGACAGCTTCCTGAGTTTTTGAAAAGTGGTACAGACATGCGTGGACCAGAAATTGTTCCGGAACAAAAAGACGCCGAGATACTTGACAGTGGAAGAACTGGGTACGGGACTTTCCTTCACAGTAAGAGTGGGAGAGAAATCTATGAGGAACTTCAACGTATCGCCTCGGAGAAAAGAAAATATCACATCACTGCATTTAGAAGCACTAAGCGTAAGAAATCTGGATGATGACCATTCCACCAGATCTTTCAACCCACGTTGAAGTGATGAGAAATCCTGGTAAGTGGGAGCCATAGATCAAAACATAACATCATCAGTATATTTACACCCTATAAAGGTGGGTTGTATAGGGAGATGTTCAACACAACGAAAAGAGAAAAGGTGATAGGATCGCTCCCTGCAGAACACCACAGTCGGCACGGAGGACAAAGGATTCCTTATCGTCCAACTTGGTGAAGTGAGTACGACCTGTAAAATAGCCACGATTCAGATTACACACTCTGGTGAACACTATTTCCGGATAGCAGGTTTAGCAACATTGACCTATTCAGGCTTCCAAAGGCATTCGAATAATTCAGGAAGAGAAGTCATACGGATTTACATTGTTGATCTAATGCAGAAGCTATAGAATGAAAAGATATGCCATTGCATCCAATGTGGAGCGCTGGGGTCTCTACGCAAACTGGTAGACATCGTCCCCAGGAGCGGCTGAGCAAACTCGCGGAATTAATAGTCTCTCAAAAACTTTTAGAAGCACAGATGTGTATGAAATTTGGCGATACTTTTGAGATCCATTTTTGTTACTAAAGTTATACTGGCCGTTCGCCAAATGTCCGGGATCACACCTGTAGTGAGGCAATTGTTAAAGAGATCTGTAAAAGGCAGTGTGAGAGAATTAGCCCACTCCTTCGAAGCTAATAATGAGAGAGCATCCGGACCACAAGCTTTGCTTGTCTCTATTCTTGTGATGTCCTTGTGAACGTTGCTTTTATTGAAGAGTGCAGCTGAACTTGAGTTAATGAAGGAGAGCAAGTAAAATGAGCTTAATGAGTCGGAACTAAACTCAGAATTCAGTGTATCCACAGCCAATACACCGCCCTGGCTGCAAACGCTCTTACCACAGAGCTGCCTCAGAAGCCTCCATAGATCGCGACAGTTATGGTTGCCTAGACCTGCTTCGACGTATAATTGGTTTAGCCACTTTATCTCGGATTTAATTGCTGTGGTTAGGCTTTTGGCACTTGTAAGACATTCTTTCATCCTTCGAAGCCGCTTTAGTAGTGGTGATGAAAACATATCTACAATTAGATAAATCGTTTCAACAGGGCAACACACGTCAAAGCAATATTTGATGTAGTCCGTAAGATGGTCACATTCGAGCGACAGGTCCTCACCGCTGAAGACTGAAAAATCAGATGAAAAAAAAATCGTCTGGAGCCTCGTGATATTTTCAAAGAAGCAATTTCACCATTTGTAAGGATGACTGGTAAGCGTTAAATGGTTAGACCTGCTGTATATGACTGGACACAGTTTTAAAATACAATGGTCGAAGCTGCTCAAAGGAGCCCGCTTTTGAATGGAAAACAACTGTCGTTTGTTTGTGAACACAAAGTTAAATTGGGCATCTTGTCGAGTCGAAACAGTCACAAGGTCTACCAAGTCAAGTGTCTTGAATATATTGTATCCTGTCGACTGAAGTCGCCAGCAACAAAACAGATAGAAAAATCTAAGTTAAGCAGTAGCGTTGAAGAAACTGGGACCTCAAAAAGCATTAAATCTGGTGTAGATGTGTAAGGAGCAATACATACGTTTTAGGCCACGACTGATTGAAAGCCACTGAAGAACTTCGGCTTGCATTCAACTAAATGGCAGCTTATAGAGATCGTTCAGTACGTAAATATTACGATTGATAAATTGCACCAACAATGAATAACGTTAGCTACAACCCCACCATCACGAAACTGAGGCTTTCCGGGTCAGAACTGATGAGAAAATAACCATCGACTTGAATTACCACATTTTCCACATCAGTATGCAACCAGCTTTCATGTATCAAAATGATTAACGTATTAGCATACTCATTTCGCTACATATTGGCACCGAGATCACCGATTTTACCAACAAGCGAGTGAACATTACTGGAAAGTATCAGTGGGACTAGCGCTATATCAACAGAACAACGGCTGAGGCCAGATTGCCAGCCAGCGCGATGCATTCGTTTTTTCCAAGGCATTTATCCCTAATTTGTGTCAAGGTGTTCCTGATTTTATGACCGTACGCCATGAAACACGGATTTAAAGAAATAGCGCGTAACGTTTACAAATGATTGACGGAGTAGGACACTGACATTAAAAATTATATATATATATATATATATATATATATATATAATATATATATATGTATATATATATGTATATATATATATATATATATATATATATATATATATATATATATATATATATATATATATATATATATATATATATATATATATATATATATATATATATATATATATGGTTGGCTGCATCCAATTTCGGATTTGCCTGTCACTGTGGCCAGCCACAGGACGCCTACACCTACAGAGGGAACATGGGTGGCTTGCGCTGCACCGCCCAGAGCTTCATGCACATACCCCATATCCAGTGTAAACCCGAAGGAATAAGACCGAGAGGCATGTGGATGGGAGTCGAATTTATCAACGAAGGCTGCCAACGCTCGTGCAACATGCACAACAACAGCATTCCCGTCTGTTTGGAACTCATGCGTACCAGTCGTACAGTGGGTGCTAGTTGGGCCGTAACGGATGAAACCACTCTTTGAGCCTAGCGCAGTTCCGAGGACCGTGTGCCCTGTCCCATCTAGCAACGACGAATGGCCTCTTGGATCCGGTAGTGGTTTTCGTCAGGTAGGCACCTAGTCAATATTCACATCAAGCGCAGCCACTCCGAGGATATCAATCGACCGCCAACCCCTAAAATTCAAGAAACCCAAGATGTATGCACACTTACAGACCAAATGCATCGACATTGTAGCATGCGTACCGCATCGGCCAGATTATTACCCTGAGTTAAAAATTGTAACCGGAAACAGCATTCACTGTGAATTCCTAATTCACCGAGTAAACTGATACTGTGCAATCCTGATTCACTTGTGTAATTTTGCTACTAGCTATTTATCAGTAGTACATATTTTCACATTTGTCACCACGATGATTGAACAGATTACTAACGATCTCCTCAGAATCTGAATTAACTGTACTGCCTATCCTACATTTTCCTCCTAATCTTTATTATATGACTTTTCACAATTTACTGACAAGGTGCAAAGCTCTGATATCCGAACACTTTGTTTGAATGCACCAATTATTACGTCTTACAATGAGCGCGGACTGCTCGAACTAACCAAGTGGAATTATGTATGTTCCTAATAAGTTTGTTCACCTATTCCTAAGTTATAGGTTTCTATTTCCTTCATTATCATTTATGTAGAATCACGGTTGCTTCGGTATAATTTATTCTATCCTGACTTTCATTCTCACAGCCCAGACCGTGCGTTTAAATAGGTGTCGTCAGCTCGCCTTTAACCAGCCATTTCTGCAGTAACACTCACCAAGCGCTGCGCTGCTAATGGTTACCTATTCAGCTGACTTATCTTCTCTGATTTTGGCCCCGTGTGGCCGCGCGAAAAGTGAACCAAACATCAAAGGCTGCAATTGAATAGCAATTGCAGAGAGCAGTGAAGTCAAACTCGCTAACCCGTTAACCGTTACACATTTTATGCAGATGGTTTCGATCGCATTACTCCGAAGGATGTAGCCCTGAGTAATCCATCTACGCTGCTCTCCTTTTGAACTGCCTGCTGCATTATATATAAATATTTATTTATATAAATATAAATATATATATTTATACAAGAAAAAGTCAGATATGCAAAATCGTGCCTTCAGACAGCTCGACTCAATATTGGAATTTGGATAACAATAATTGTCTCCTTGCCTATCGAACTCACACGGTTTAAAGCAATTTATCCCAGCAGATCTATCAATGGGCTCATGATACGTGACAAACCACAATAAATGAGGTTGCAAATAACACAAAAGTCACCTGGACGTCGTCACTTCCACGAAGATCAAAGAATCGGATCAAAAATCTCTCTTCAGTTGATAAAAGTGATCGAATTTGGAGTAACGTGTCATCGACAATCTGTAAAGTAAATCGAGCACAAGTAAGTGCAGAAAAATCGAGCAAAAAGCTGTGCATGAAGCAGAAAGGTATCGGCAAATACAGGTACTAAGTGTTGACGCATGGCTGTCGCACAACTTCAAGTGGCTGTACGCGAAGTGGGATGGGACAAGGAGCGCAAAACCCATGTAAGAGTGGGTACTCGAACCCGGGATGTGGATACTGCAAAAATGCCTGCACATCCACGTAATGGAGAAAATAGAAGGGTAGATAAATGTAGACGTGTTCATGCTCAAGAGGACATTTGATTGAAAGGCAGCCCTGTGATATCGGCAGTTGAAACGTGAGCGTTAGATACAAGGCGCTTCGTCGCGGTGAATATATACGGCTACTCTAAGCAGGAACCGATTAAGAAGCCCAAGTTACATTGGTAAAAACGTGAAGCGAGCGAAGGAAAAAGAAAATGACTTCTTATTTGCCCTCATGCTATGACTATTAAAATATCTACAATATTACAGCAAAGTTCATGCCTAGGGTGCGAACATGCTAGTAAAAGGACTTGTTGATTCTCCGTGGCAATTCGTTGTTAACAGCTTAGCACACTGTGTTCAAGGCCGGAGAGAAGACGTGCATTGTGAGAAAAGCAAACACGTAAATATACTATGTACCCTAAAAACGATTAGACCATGCTAAACCTACTGAGACGTTACTGGTACTTGTCTAAGTGGCCGTGCGAAGTACCACTCAGTGTCACAAATGCTGTGCTGAAGCTACACTGGCAGTCAACTCTAGTGGAACCTTGGCATCACCCTAACGCGAGGAACAAAAGCTATTAAAACGTGCACACCGCCCATCAATGACAGGGACACAATAAGTGCAGAAAATGGAAGAAGGGGATGATGAGCAGCCATAGCAAAATGGCGTGGAATCAAGTAACGACCTTACATTCACTTTAGCTGAGTCCCGCTGAAAACCACAACGCACTAATAGTCGCGTGCAGTGTGCAACATGCTGGATGTGGTGGCACGGTGGATTTATTGAATGTCCCGTAAAGTGCCCGACACTGAATACAGCATGCTTCGCCTACGCGTGTGGGCTGCTATGATGTTTTACAAACGCGAAGCTGGAACTAAAACTATTTGCGATGAACGTACTGCATTGTACCTCACTAACCATAATTCCACCAAGAGTCAAGGAAGAATACTGTGAACACTTCTTAAATGCATGGTGAAATCGACTCGCAGAACTATTTGGCGGTGAATTATATACGCAGCAGCTTCCTAGTCCATGAAAAGAAACATAGCTTCATCGTCATTGTCAAACTGTTGTAAACCAACAGAAATCCCTGACGTACTTGGTCAGTCGCATCAATTGCGAAATTCTTGACATAAAATGGCATCAGGAAAAGAAAGCGTTCAAAATAAAATCGCGTCCTTAGTATGATTTTATGTTGGTGGACAGTGACATGGCTTACGTTCGAGATTTGGCCGAGTACACTGGCTTCTGGATTGTGTACGGACAGCGTGCTCCCAACTTCGGAAGTGGCCACCTCCGGTGCACGAAGAACGTTGCCACCTAAAAACTCCAGAGAGATTGGGAAGGTAAACAACTGTTCCATTGTAAAAGGTTTAGGGCGACTCAGATTGCGTGAATCGCTTCACTGACGCGACGAAAGCAGCAAATTCGTACGGACAAAGCATTAAAATTGTGGGTTTAGATTACAGTTACAGTTTAACTGTAACCAGAAAAGCAACTATCAGTAGAAAGATGATATTGTACATAGTGTCCGAAAGTAACCAAAAAGAAAAGGTGTGCGATTTCAAGGATCGGATTCCAGCAAATCAGAATAGCGCCTTCTCCAAACGGTGTTCGTAAAACGAGCGACAACCAAATAGTAACAGATATATATGCACATCTACAAACATATTACACTTCAAAAGACTGTGTAAGCGAACATGTTTTCGGTGATTTCTCATCAGAATCAAAATTTGTATACAGACCCAACGGGTCGTCAGTCAGCCAAATTGATTCTAGCGCGCCATGGCAAACCGTCGGTCAGGTTCCAGTTGTAGTCGTACGCTCGCACAGGTCAACTGCAGTCCGTCCTGGCCAAGGTAAACTCAACGCGTGAGTGAACCTTTTCTGCGTGCACAGCTCTGGTTTATACAACCGGATGGCGATGGCTTCTGTGGCGTCTAATATCCGCTTACGGAAACACGGATCGATTTTCTGGGGTCCGATAGATTACTTTGAACGAATCAGCCGACTTGGTGGTGTGACCCGTATCCGCAAGTTGCGCGGCGATGGCAGTGTTGGTGGACTTTTGGCCTCCATTTCCGAGCCAGGCCGAATGGTGTTCCCTCACCCTTTCTGATTAGCGTCTTGTCGTACGACCAACATAGCCTGCTCCACAGGAACAGGTGAAGGAGTAAACACACACTGATTTGGTGTGGACAGGCAGCTTATCCTTGAGGTTTAGTCTCACCATTGGGCTACTGGTGAACCGGATTTGCAGCCTCGCCGCTGGGAAGGTATTTCTGAGTGTGGACGATAGACGGCGGGATAGATTCTCTGATGCTATTTCCCCTTTGTAAGGCAGTTGCAGGAAAATAGGTTTCCGTTCCGCCGTCAGGACCTCAGATGCCTCCTTGTTTCGCCCCATATTGGCATTAATAAAATTCTATGGGTAGCTATTCTCTTTAAGCGTCGATTGTATGAGCTGCAACTCTTCGAAAAAAGTAACCTTCGAGCAGGTTCTTTCGGCCTGGTTCACGAGACTGAAGACCAAGTTTCTTTTAATCTGAAGCGGCACAAAGTTGTGAAAGTTTGTGTACTGTCTACTCCATGCGCACTTTCGGTAAACGCTACGTTGTACTGCACCACCATCAAGTCTTTTTAGAGCTACATCGAGAAAATGAAAAGGACCGTTTTCTTCTACCTCGTAGGTGACTTGTATACCCTTGTGGGTCTGGTTAAATACGCTGATGAGCTCCTCGAGGTTACCAGAGGCGTCAAGTAGGACGAAGATGTCATCTACGTAACGGTGGTATAACGTGAGGCTGCTGATGACCGCTTTCAATTTACCCTGTCCCAACAAAACCATGAAGACATCAGCGAGCAATGGTCCTAGGGGGGAACGCAATGCAACTCCATCGCGCTGACGGTATATATCCCCTTAGCAGTAATGCTTTCAGGGCCAGAGTTGGTATGTCAATATTAATATGGTTCTCGTCAACAAAGTTGTAAATGAACTCAATCATTACAAATAAATGCACGTTCGTGAATAGTGGGGTGACGTCGAGAGAGCACATAGTTTGGTTCGTGACGTTGACATCACGCACGGCATCTGCAAACGCAAAAGTGTCCTTCAGGGTATGTACAGCGACTCGGCTACGCACAGACTCAAGAAGTTCCAACAACCAACGAGCACTCGAGTGATATGGGGAGTTTCTCATCTCCAAAACCAGGCAAAAAGGACAGTTAGGCTTGTGGAGTTTGGGAACGCCGGAAAGCCTTGATGGTGATGAAGTACAACGTAGCGTTTACCGAAAGTGCGCATGGAGTAGACAGTACACAAACTTTCACAGCTTTGTGCCGCTTCAGATTAAAAGAAACTTGGTCTTCAGTCTCGTGAACCAGGCCGAAAGAACCTGCTCGAAGGTTACTTTTTTCGAAGAGTTGCAGCTCATACAATCGACGCTTAAAGAGAATAGCTACCCATAGAATTTTATTAATGCCAATATGGAGCGAAACAAGGAGGCATCTGAGGTCCTGACGGCGGAACGGAAACCTATTTTCCTGCAATTGCCTTACAAAGGGGAAATAGCATCAGAGAATCTATCCCGCCGTCTATCGTCCACACTCAGAAATACCTTCCCAGCGGCGAGGCTGCAAATCCGGTTCACCAGTATCCCAATGGTGAGACTAAACCTCAAGGATAAGCTGCCTGTCCACACCAAATCAGTGTGTGTTTACTCCTTCACCTGTTCCTGTGGAGCAGGCTATGTTGGTCGTACGACAAGACGCTAATCAGAAAGGGTGAGGGAACACCATTCGGCCTGGCTCGGAAATGGAGGCCAAAAGTCCACCAACACTGCCATCGCCGCGCAACTTGCGGATACGGGTCACACCACCAAGTCGGCTGATTCGTTCAAAGTAATCTATCGGACCCCAGAAAATCGATCCGTGTTTCCGTAAGCGGATATTAGACGCCACAGAAGCCATCGCCATCCGGTTGTACAAACCAGCGCTGTGCACGCAGAAAAGGTTCACTCACGCGTTGAGTCTACCTTGGCCAGGACGGACTGCAGTTGACCTGTGCGAGCGTACGACTACAACTGGAACCTGACCGACGGTTTGTCATAGCGCACTAGAATCAATTTGGCTGACTGACGACCCGTTGGGTCTGTATACAAATTTTGATTCTCATGTAATTGTAAAAGCCTGATGAGGAATTACCGAAAACATATGTTTGCTTACACAGACTTTTGATCAATCAATGGGTTTTTCAATTCAATATTACAATTCGGCAACAGCAGTGCAATCGTCAGGGTGCCACAAAATGCAGATAAATGCACTACGGCGGAAGGGGAGAAAAAATATCTGTAGAGCTGTAACCGTAGCAGCAGGGTCTCATATGTCAACTACAGTGTACAAGTTCTTGCAATGTTCGCCAGTGTTTCCAGTCGAGCAACTGAAACTCAGTGGGAGGTTCAGCCACACATTTATGCACTCCTCGGCTTCTCAGATGTACGCCGATGCATTTTGTTGCACATCTCTGGATAGGCACTCATTCGTTTGGTATTAATCAGTACCAACCCTTGTAACAATCTCTCATGAATACAAGTAGTGCATCCTGCAATTATTTGGGATCGTAATTTCCCAGAAGTATAATCGATACCAACACGCACAACGATGTGTTGTTCCAACCCTCGAAACCAACTTTTGTTCTCACTAAATAGAGCATTCTAACGGCCTTCGAACAAGCTTTCACCCGTCTGAGTCCAACATTGCATGGAAACATTACAAGACGACCTAGGTTTTCCGGAAGCAAACCTCACTCAACCTCTCGACTAGTCCATTCAGGGGCCATCAACAGACCCGGAAACGAAACAGTCTATCAAAGCATCATGTGATCTGCCTCAGTGGCACATCGAAGCATTCGATAAACACAAAAGACGAACGCCCCGAAACGACACCTCATAGTTACACCACAGCGATGTAAGTCGTGTGAACTTTCCCACAACATCAGTAACAAAGAAACAGCTGCTGGCCATCAAGGCTGAATCAGTACCATTCGATACTGCATGGAACACAAGTCAATCCCATTGATAAAAGCATCCCCTTACTAGTTCAGAAACCCGACCAAATACTAGCCAAGGTTGACGGAACAATGGCCACTAAAATAACCACAGACTGGGTAAGCACAAAGGAATGTGCGTCCCGGGCCACAACAATAACAGAAATTACTCAAGATGGGGGAAGTAAACAAAGTCAAACAAAGTAACTGAGGGCTAACTGCGAATAACCGCGTCCACAATCGGTGTGAGGGCAGTAAAAGGAGGATAGCGATAAATGTAAATTACAAATACAAACCGTAAAAAACTCATGCGCATTGAAACTCTCACAGTCATGAAAGAAGCCACACTACCATACACGGAAACATTGTAGAACACTGTACTTCCATAACAGAGTTCAGTTCAGTTGAAGAACTATGATCCGAGCCCCGTGGTGCGGCTGATCTAGTTATCAAAACGCACATCGCAAGAATAACAATAAATATCGACGTCAAGATAAAGAGGTCGAATTCAACTAGAACGCAACCAAAATGAAGCAAGAACAAAATGCGTTAAACAAACCAGAATGGAACGAAAATAAAGAACCGGATGCAAGAAGTCGAAAGCAGAAACGCCATTGACTGTGTGAATGCGCGATGTTTGATACGGTCTCCCACAAGTGGAGTGGACCATCCCAAAAACCCCATCCACGGAGACATCACGCTCAGTGTTTCTTCATGCCTCCATACTACGTCATGGACTGACCATTTCGCGGTTTCCCATGCCTGGTTTAATGTGTCTATAAATTTGTGAATAAACTATTTATTTATTTAATTGTAGCGACCGAGGAAGCCGATCAACGGGCGTACGGAGAACATGGTCTAGCCAACGTAAGCGTACACGAATCAGCAGAAACTCGAGTATGCACTAGAAGGCTTCTTACTAAAAGCCAACTGGCGGACCTCAGCATTGCCCAGCCGGTGTTCCCACAAATGTGAGCAATACTCCGCAAGCACCAGTGGTCAAACACGCCCACCGTTTAACGTATTCGCCGCGAACTGGCCAGGTGTCTGATCGATACAGTAACACAGGCCTTATCGCAGCGTTGTACACCCTACCTTCCACTGACAAGCTGATATCCCGCCGTCTCCATAGATGGCTGAGCTTCTGGAAAGCCACACTTGCCTTGCTGATACGAGAAGTAACTACTACAATGATGTGATTACCAGAGGTAACACAGCTACCAAGGCAAGTGAACCGATCCACCACTTCTAGTGGCGGTTGGGTAATAGCTAGCAC